AAGTATTTGCATGCCATTATGTAATTAAGGTACTTTTTTAACCTAATACTTTTGATTGGCCGACCTAATACGCATGTCAAGGGTGTGTTTAATTGATTTAGGTAACTTTTAAGTCATATGACTAAATCATGATTTGAAGCCATTCTTGAAAAGGTTCTTATTTTAATAAATATGGTGATGCTTGAGGCGTCATGTTCTTGCCCTAACATGACAATACCTTTAATTTAGTCAATGAAACTCTTCTATTGTTGGTGTTTTATAGTACGAAGGCAAAATATCAATTTTAAGAGACTTCATCAAAATATTTAGTAAAATGGATAAACTTATATTAAAAGCGTAATTGAAATTACAAAAACAAAAAATTAAAAAACATTAATTCCATTAATCAATGTTATAAATTTTAGAAAGGCATTTTTTTAAAATTAAAAATATTTTTTATTTTTTAAGATTAATGCAATAATCTGAATTCAATTCCACATATAATGTGGTAATTGCCTCAACCAACCTAATAAATTTCGAGAAAGTAAAATGTCCTTCCACCAAAACTATAAACAGCAAGATAAAAGAAAATTCAACAAGTAAAAGATGTCATAAACGCTGTCCCTAGAAATAAAAAGAAATGAAAAGAATTGTAAAAAAAAGATAGATTCAACACAAAGTAATTTTACAACATTAATTCATCACTAAAATTTGTCATTTTTTTAATATTTTCATTAGAATTTTTTATGAAAAAAATTACAATTTGAGTTTTTTTTTCTATTTATTTTTTATTAATTTTATAAAAACACACAAAATATTCACAGAAACCCCAAAAGAAAAACATTAATAGTGATTATCTTAGATATGATTTCATTTGGATTTGACCAAAAGTATTTACTCCACCTTTATATATTTAAATGAATATTTATTTTAATTCATATTTTATTAAATTTATTCGTTTTGATTAATTTTAAATTTTAAGTTTGGAAGAACTCACCACGTGGACTAACAAAGTCCATATTTTATTTTCTTTATATGAGATGCTATATGATTTTATTTTAAGAAATTCACATGACACTAAGACTTTTGCTAACATGGATTTTGATGGTGACATGACAAAAAGCTTCATTTTTTGTGTTTTAATAAGTAATTTTTGTTAGTTTTATAAATTCTATGACCTTCCATGAATTTAAATAATTTGGTTACATAAAATTTAATTGTTTTTAATTTTATATTTCACAAGATGATATTTATCCCATTAACTTCCATATTTATAATCCACATGCACCTGCAATCAATATTGTAGCATGAAAAAGTATACATTTAGGGTTTCAACCTATTTGATAGAATGGCCAGCTTTTAGGTTAATTGATTCACATTTTAGTTTGGGACAAAAATTGACCAACAAAATTGCTTGATCCAACGTGCATGGTCAATGAATTAATTGGTGAACCAACCAATTTAATTTTAAAAAGTAGAAAATCATTAAAATAAAGTGAAAGCTGTAAAACAAGGATTCATCAAATCACATTTTGATACTCATTTTTATGTTTATGTTTATGATATTTAGGCACATTTTTTAGTTGAAATCAATTAAAGGAAATAATTAATGTAAGTCATGAAACATTTACGAAGCACTAAAAAAGTAATTAAGATATTTTTTTTATCTTTTTTTTATATGGTTGGCTCTTTGCAGAAATATAGTTTTTTTATTATTTATTTATGTTAGTGAGTTTTTGAGTTGTTGGTTTGGACCGTATGTATCACTACTTTATATATGGTTGACCAAATATCAATTTGTATAGGTAAGCTCTACTTTATATATGGTTGACCAAATATCAATTTGTATAAGTAAGCTCTACTTTATATATGGTTGACCAAATATCAATTTGTATAGGTAAGCTCAAAAATTTGTATGTAAAGTAGTGATACACACAGATTACACATGAACAAAAATCCATATGTTAAATGGTTGTAGATAATGTTATATACGAAAAAATATAAATGTAAAATCTCTATGTAATTATATACTAAAAAATTTGTATTTAATTATACACAGAAAAATTATTACATGCAAAAAATCAGTATATGATTACATATGGTTCTTAAATTAAATAATCAAAACATAAAAACTTTATTAGATGTCTCATAAATAGATCTCAAATAAATAAATATAATTGCTATTCTTTAATTCTGACAAGGAATCCCTTCATATTTACACAACACTTTGGTATTTATTTTCATTAAAAAAAGAAAAGGTTCCAAAGTGATTTTTAAGGACACTAATTAACATTACCAAAGTATTAGTTAAACATCCTTTCAAATTTATTTCAATACCTGATTAGCAAGTTCAACTCGTTGATCATGAAGCTATTAAATGATCATATCGCAAATTGTAGTCTTGCCAGATGTTGCACCCGAGCAACACCTGCATCATAAAACATAAACAAATTATAATCATTAAGGTAAAGGAGAAGTTGTAAGAATTTGAAGGCAAGGTATCTAAACTTAGCACCTTGACCTATGAAAAAGCTCTACTCCAATTTCATTTGAAAAACATAAAAAGATTGTGTGACGTTGATATTAGTTGAAATGTATCATCCCATAACTAACCCATATATTAGATGCTATGTAACTAAATTTCATGTTAATTCTTAATAGTTCCATCAACATAAATTTATGATTTATATTCAAAGCATACATGTTTTTGCCCTGAGTAGGTCAATTTCACACAAAGAGTGACAAAATTGTGCTTTAACATAAGTGATTTTGTTCATTTCACACAAGGAGAAATCCTTAAGTTGATTATGTGATGTGTAATGTATTGTTGTAGGAGCTTTGAAATAAGAGAATGTTTCTGACTCCAATAGCCATCCAACCTCAAGTAAAGAGGGGTAGTTATGTAGTGAGCATTAGTAGAAGATCCTTAGTTTCGAGTTAATTTGACCATAGGTGTTTGACGGACTAACCTTGTGTAGTAGTTTGGGTGGTATGTTGTTTCACCATACATGCATAGGTCTCCCAATAGTTCGACATCAATACATGTATCCAGATAGTCAAGTCTAAAGGAAAGAATTGTATGACCTAAGATTGATTGTTTTATCTGTGTTATATGTCAAAAATTTTTTATAGATGTGATATATAATTGTTTTTGGTACATTAGCTTACCTTTTCTCCTTTATGTTATTTGTCTATTTTGGTTTTTCTCGTTTATAATGATCACCTTAATGATGTAAGCTTAGAGAATGTCTCGGGTGAGCAGGTGCTAGAAGGAGATGGAATTGTGGCTTAAAGTAAAACGTTGTGTTTTAGTTTCATTTGTTTTTTAAAGACCTATTATACTTTTGGTTTAGTGTAATATCTCATAATTATCTAGAACTTTATATATATTTTGCTCTTATAAGTTATTTATGGATATATGTAATTACATATTATAGGTTTTTTTTGAGTTAAGTGTTTTGTAAAATTGAAAGTGCAAATCTCATAGTAGTTAAATGCTATAAAAGTTGGAATGTTATATATCTATAAAATAGGATATAAATTTATATATATATTATTTATTTCGTCCATCATTGAGTATTTTATATTTATAAATTTTTAAGTGCATGAGACGTGTTCCTCATGACAAAATGGTATGAACAACCTCCCCACTAAACTAGAAAAGAAAAGAAATGAAAACCCGTGGCTTTTTTAGGATAAGGGTTTGGATTTCTTGGTTGCTTTTTCAGCTGTAAAACTTTATATCAATAACTTTGTGGTTTACAATTAAAAATCATGATAAGAAAACCATTTTGTGATTGCTCATTTATAGCAGGGAATCGTACTTCTCTGACTTCTCACAGCAATTTGATAAAACCCTGATCATGGACACTGTTAAATAAACTACACGAAACAAAGAAATGAATCCGTGTATGCCTTTTTCTGACGTAGCCCTAAAAGCATTATTAAAACCAACACAGCAATAGACATCGAAATAAAGGACTTTTAATTACGCCCTCCAACCCACACCAAAAGTTTGGTGAGTCCAATAAATGAAAACAAACAAAAATTAATTTATTCCCTCCATTGATTGTCGCATTAAAAGTCGGTCATAAAACTTGAAAAAATAAAAACAAATTAATAGTCCAAAAAGTAAGTTACTATTGCTTAATTCAAAGGCAAATATCTAACTTCCCCTTAATTAAAATACTTACTCAAAATTTCTTTTACTTTTATGTATAAAAAAATAGATTTTTAAACTACCCATAATCATATTTATTAGTAATGCACAAGGGTATTTTTGGAATTACATAATTAAGCAAGGTTCATATAGGTGGGATATTAAACTTTAATTAATTAGACTTTGCCTTTTTTTTTTATATTTATGCTTTAAAAAAATACCATATTAAGACAAACTTCATATAAAATTTATTGAAAATACCACCTTTGTCCCAACATGATCTATTTAATGTTTTGATCATGACACGTATTGAGAATAACAATAATATGATTTTTTAAAAAAATGAGTTCATTCAAATAGCCCCTCATTTTTTTTCAACAAAAATATTAATTTGATTGAGATGGAGAAAATAATTAATTTGAGAATAAACTATGAACAAAAATATTAATATTTTTCATCGAAAACTGATACATCAGTTATACTTTTTTCTTAAAGACTATAAGTGCAGTCTCTTTTTGTCACGGAGAAAAGAAAATTATCATGTAATCAAATTATCCATAATTTCCAAAAAAAAAAAAGAAAAAAATTAACAACCAAGAATAACATGTGTTTAAAAGAATATATATTTTAACATTCCTTAACACGAATTTATCTACCTGGTAGCAATGAATGATGACATATCTGAATACGATTATGTTTGAAAAATAAATGTAGGAAAGTGGTGAGAGGTTTTTCATTTGAAAACGCAACATTATTATTAGTTCTGCTTTCCCATGTGATGATAAGTTGTGGGTTCGGTTTTCGTTGGTAAATTAAATGCATCAATTGTTCCAAAGGGCAACTGAGTTAGGTCTATAAATAAAGTTACCCGCAATGCTTCAAACCATAGAAAAACACTCTTTTTCTTCGAACAACATTGGTTGTCTTGTTCTTAGAACAACATTGGTTGTCTTGTTCTTAGAACAAAGCATGGCTTCAATGCCTGGAATCCTCACAGATTGGCCATGGAAACCTCTCGGAAGCTTTAAGGTTGCACACATCATTCCTCATTACTTCTCATCTCTCTAGCTCTATAAACAAACATACATGGAGTTCATATTTTCTGTTTCATTTTGGTGTTGTCTTTTTTTGTTGTTTTTAATGTATTTTAAAACCTTAAAATCAGTATAAGTTAGTGAAGAAAATCCAAGTTTCACTCACACTACGTACTTTTCATTATCATGTTACATTGCTATCTATGTATCATTGTTTCTATGAAAGATGCAAGCATGAAAAAGTTTTATTATGTTTTTAAAAAATGTCTTATTTCTCTATTGTATTATCTATGTTGAATATAAACCTTAGAGGAAAGAATGTAATTTTTGGATGGTATCTATTAATTTTTTTAATGTTTTGAATTTGAAGAGATTATAAAAGTTATATCACAATACAATACAGGTTGGTTAGTGGAGATAATTTTATTTTTATAATATTAGTGTTGGAGAATGGAGATTGAACTTCTAAATCTCCTATCTAAATATATTCTTAATATCTAATTCTTTAATTTTATTATTAATTATTATTGTCGATAAAGAAAAACTAGTACTATGGGAAAAACCAAGAAAAAACCAGCCAATGTTTAACTTAGAATGTGTTCAAGCATGCCCCTTTGGTTTAGTTTCAACATGACACTTTATGGAGTGACAATGGATATATAGAATTAAGTGGTTGAATTTTTAATACTAAGTATAAACATTAACTTCAAAACATATTACATGTACTTTGTAAAGGTGATGAATAATTGTTGGATTCCTTAAAATAATTAACTGTACAGTTAACTTGTCTCTCAATGTACTTTCTAGTCAGAGATTTTTTTTTTTTTTGGGGGAACTCATTTATTATATTCTAAGGATTGATTTCTTTTTATAAATTGTTTTTTCCCTTCTAATTAAGATCTAGGGCATGTGATATATATTTTTATGGGCATTCTTAAAATATATATTTTTTCTTAACAATCTGGGGTTTGGCTCTAGTCCTTTTGCTCTCTTCTTTAATTTATTTCACTTTTAAAAAAATAACTATATATAAATTAAAAATTAAACTATAGAAATTTATACTTTATGTAAATTGATTTTATTGTATGGAGAATTTTTTTTTTGTTACGAAGTGAAAATGAGTGGATAGTTTATGGGTTTGGTTTTATGTTTTCCTAACTTTTATCCTAAATTTCCTGAAACTTAATCATATATATTAAAAAAGTATAATTAGTAAAGAAAGTATGAATCTAGCTAGTTACTATTTTTACACTTTTGCATGCAAATGTGTTGCTAAGAAAGGAAAGGGATTTGGTATATACAGTTGCATTATAATTAGTTAGCCACATCCAATTATTAATTAACAATCAACATCACAACTTCAATACCAATAATAATGACAGTTGTTTATGATATAAAAACTTACTAATATGCAAATGTTCAATTATTCAGTGAGTTTATTTATTTTTTTATATTTCTACATTTTTTTTAAAAACCCATCTCTAATATTTTTTCAATAGCTATGGTATATATTTTATAAAAAAAGTACATAAGTAGATATAATTGCATTTATGAATTTTGCATTAATTGCATTAAATTTTTGCAGTATGTGGTGTTAGCTCCATGGGTGGTTCACAGCAGTTATTCTGTGATGGTGAAGGATGATAAAGAAAGGGATGTGAGCACTTTTCTGATATTACCATTTTTGGTTTGGCGAATGCTTCATAATCAGATATGGATCACTCTCTCTCGTTACAGAACAGCCAAAGGAAATGGTAGAATTCTTGATAAAGGACTTGAATTTGAACAAGTTGATAGAGAAAGAGAATGGTTAGATTCTTCCACACTTTCAACCCTAATTTTATTTTTTTATATATATATTTATAGAAAAACATTTGAGATGTTCTAATTTTTTAGAAAAAAAAATTCAAAACAAAAAGAATCGTGCTATGATTTTACAAAACTATTACATAACCGAAATGAAAAAAAAAATGGATTTACAAACACACAAAATGAGTTTAGTTCTTTTTATTTTATTTTTTGTCAACTACTTTTGTAAATGGGTTGGAGTATGATAATATATTTTTTTATGATAAAAAACAATTGAAGTGATTTATCTAGTATATGTTTGAATAA